GAATCCTTGACCCCTGGACCCCTAGAGAATATAACTCCTGGGCCTCTTGACCCCTGTACCCGTTGACCCCTTGTCCCATTGACCATTGTACCTCTTGACCCCTTGAATCCTGAACCCCTGGACACCTGAACCCCCTGAACTCTGGGTCCTTTAACCCCTTTGACCCTTTGGCTCTTTGACCCCTGGACCCTGATCCATCGTGCTTTCAGTTTATTTATTTTGGTATGGCCATGTGAGCCATTCGGCTCTTGAATCGGGTGCAACCACAACAAACAAAAACACACGAGCAAGAAAAACATCTTAAAGTGACTATGTGACTGGGCAAACAGAAAATCCATGGAAAAAAAACAGCTAAATATTCCTGAAAAAAGCACCGTACACCAACGCTGTGTGCAAAAAATCCCAGTGGGATGCAAGTCAAACAACAACAACAACCACAAGAAAACTTAGATTAAGGCCATCAGTCTAACTCCGTACTACAACAAAACAAACGTGTCCAAACCAAAAAAACTTTTCGAAATCACCAAAAAAATAAAGCCATGCGAGGTGAGTACGAATAGCAGGCACTATATATTCATTGGACGCCCGCTCTTTTACATCAAGCTGAAGCCCAATACTGCTTTTCCACTGTGCAACCGAGCCGTGCCAGGGGGCCTTGCCAAGTCAACCCATCACGGCTCAGAAATGCCGAACCCGAGCCGTGCTACTGACGTCACATGTAATGGCGAGTCACGTGTTTTATGAACATTGTTAACCTCACCCCCGGCGCTGCTTGGCCCTGAGCCAGTTTTAGGCGTCTTGTGAGGGCACAGTATCACGGCTTGGTTTCGGCTCGGCACAGTAAATGGGCAGTGGGAAATTACCCCACGCCTCGAGGATCCACGCTGGCACGGGTTGGATGTGCCAGTGTAAATGGGTTAAATAACAAGTGTCTCCAAACTCAACAAGTGTGTGTTGTGGCACTGCATCACTGCCTGCCGCTGCTGCTTGCAGTTGGTCGCATTTGCTCAAGTTTATTTTGACGGTGATCGAAGACAAGATGAAGGCAATGCACTTCGTCAGGACATGATGATGGTTTTATGTTTGTGTTTGCATATGCACAATGGCTCTTTCTTTTTTTTCAAGTGTGTTTGCGTCTTCTTTGAAACTCATGTTCAGTGCGAGTTTGTAAGGGGGGTCGAGGCCCGGCACGGTTTCAGATATCACTCTCCACTGACGTCAGCTGTGGCCAGGAATTCAACTGAGGTTGCCGGGTTCATAGGGCAGGGAACTAGTCACCGCACCACCGCTTCACCAGATATCGTATGGCTAGCATTCCAGCAATAACATCTCTCTTGCTGCGCTGGAATCGTAACACAGTGATCTACAATGGCCAGGCTCTGAACACTTTTGCAAATGTGTAACTGAGACTTGCCGATCTGCCAAAGAGCACAACTGCAGGCTCTTGTGTTTGCGCCATTGACAATGGATAATGGCGACCTTGAATATCTGTCATCCCAAATGTTGGTTGTAATTTTTTATTTTGGCCAGTATGATGTCCCATTGTATTTGCACTTGTAACTACCCTCTCTAGAAAGGCAGGTTATATAATGCACTGAACATTCTGAGTATGTCCAGGCGGCTTCAACTAATTCAGCAAATGTTTGTACAAACATTGTTTTTTTTCTGCTGTTGTTGCGCCATGTCATATTAAGCACCGTGGGATCAATGGATCGGCGTTTTAATTCAGTGGCAGCAGAGAGGAGCGAGACAGACATTATGGCAATAATAATTATTACGGAAATAAAAACGCATCGATTTCCTTCGAGAACGGCCAGCGCACACTGTTATCAGGAGAGATGAGTAACACAGGAAACATGCCTAGCCAACAAAAAAAAACAGACAAAAATGGGTTTTCATATTCTGACTCGTTTGAGATTCATACTTAAACTAGTGTGGAAATAACGCTTACTTAGAAATTGAAAAGTATAGATCTCAGTAAAAAAAATGTTGGAACACGATTATCTCTTGAATATAAGCGATATAATATACGCGCAGTGCCACAGAGGCTCTATGTTAATGTGTGCTCGCTGTGTATATACACACAAATGCAAACCATGTAGCATAGATATAAAATGCACATTTAGAAAAAACGCACGCATTTAAATAGTCATTCTTGCCAACCGGAATGATGTAAGTTTTGGCTGCTGATTTATAAACCTATTCACACAAAACCAATATCAAAAGCTAATCACACCCCTTAATAACACAATTTTTATAAAAAAAAATATATAAACAATATTTCCAATAACAATTGGAAGGCAGTATAATGTTTTGAAAATTGGCAGTTGCAAGACACGTAAATGAATAGGAATGACAAGTATGAACATGTGAAAGCATTGAGATGCTTATATAAACGGTGCTACGAGAGTTAATTTCGGATAATTATTGTAATGATTGCACATGAACAAAAAAAAATTGTGTAAGCATCGAAGCAAGTGATGTAAGCAAGTACCTTCTAAGGTCAATGAGATTATTCCTTGAAATAGTGTGTTTAAACAGTGCTGAAGTATGCACACTGCACCAGGTATGCATGTAAGGCTGAGTCGACCTAGGGGAGGCCCAGGACTGGTTCAGATAATTGTCACTGGTGTTGGCCGGGTTCTTAGCGCAGCGCGCAAACCATCGCGGACAAACACACACCTCATTTGCATCATCATCACCATCATCATCATCGTTAAGTACAGTATTTATTCAGTATTTGACGTGAGTTGTTATTGGTCGTAAACAGGAATCGACCTCGGGTTACTGTGTTAGTCGTGTACTTGTGCGGACCCCCGGGCCGCTACTCAGACGGGGAAACAGACGAACCGGCGGACTATGATGGGATAGTTCCATTCGGCTTCGGGATATAGATCCTAAACTAACCTAAGCGGAATGGAGCCATGATGCAGTGGTGTCCGCGGAAACACAAACCCAACGGCCTGGATTTGGTTCCTGGCCACGGCCAACATCAGCAGTGCATGACATTGCTAATTTTTTTTTGTATTTGGCTGCTCTAGAATTCCACGTGATAAGCCACTTCACTGGGCTCTCATTTGTGGCCAGGTCGCTTCTGGAAAAAGAGCTATGCTGTATAGCTCAAACTAGATTCGAAGCTTCCGTGACTACAGGAATTATTCTTTGGTTCTTTCGGTAATGTCACGAAGAAAGAAATTAAATAAAATAATAATAGAATACGATGTTTCGATTGCAACACAAGCAACCATCATCAGGTACAAATGAATAAGAAAACAAACATAGTACACTTGGAAATATAATGCAATACAACACAGAGAGTCGGCCAACAAAACAGTCAACACCCCACCTGGTTGATTACATTCTTCCAAAGATTGCTAAATTTGAGAGAGAGAGAGACAAAACATAGACACGGAGACACACAGACAGACACACAAGCAGAGAGAGACTCACACAGAGACAAACAGAGAGAGACACATAGGCACACAGAAAGACAACGTCTCTATGTCGAGGCTTTACATAGAGGTGGGGGGGGGGCAGAGGGGGAGTTGTGTGAAATTCCTGCCCATAGCGGCCGGAGGAGAGAATGGACTCATAAACAAGCACGGTATAAATCAAATTTAGTAAAATTAGGAAGTGTAGTACAATGCAACACAGAGATTCGGTTAGCACACAGTTAACGCATAGCCTGGTTGATTACGTTCTTCCAAAGATTGCTAAATTAGAAGTTAAGTGCTCTTCTTGATGTAAGGCACGAGTTGCAGTCACACATTACCGAAGTAATTCATGTTTGATTAATCAATTATATAGAGTGTGTTTTATTAGGATTCATTTGATTACATCACTGTGTTAGTGTTCTCACAACATTACCACGGATAGCAGGACATACAAATTCCCAAGTCTTAGCCGGAGCCCATAAGCATATGAGAACCATGCGCGTCGGAGTAGATGCATAATGCGCACACAGAGACATAGATTCACCGTTTCGCCTAAAAATATCATGAAGGGAAACCGCGTTTCGTGAGCGTGGAAAGTACTAAGACTGAAACGACGTAAGAGGAGGTAGAATATTAATGGCCAACTTTTTCGACCCGTTTCAGTAATGCGCACCGCACTCGGTATTCATTAGGTCCGAGTCAACCTCGGGGCATCCCATAAAACATCCGAGTGCCACGTTGCGTGGTCAGTAATAGAAAGGCTGCTATACTGATATACTCATTTGAAAGCTGAGTCGACCGAAGGGAAGTCCAGGACTAGTTCAAATATTCGTCGTCGATGTTGGCCTTGAGTGAGAATCGAACTCGGATCGCCGTAGCGCAGTGCGCTAACCTCTTCACTACCGCCCCCCCCACACACACACAGACAAGCAGACACATGCACTCAACACACACCTGTGTATGGGCACGGATCACAAATCAAGTATGCACTCGCATTCAAAAAACAATAACAAGCTTTTCGTTGAAAGGGCATAACACCCCCGATTCACCCGAAGCCACTTACTTTGGAAGTGGCTTTTAATGGCGTATTTCTTGGAATAGTGTGCCTCTTTGTATATTCCATCGTGTAAGCTTCCTCGATTGGACTGTGAGTGCACGCAGGCCTTGCTCTCTCCCTAGCAATGTGAACGTCTACAGGGTTTGTTGATGGAGATGGGTAGTGTCCCGTGGTCGTGTGAGCACTGAAGACACTGTTTTGTGCACGTGCTAGGTGATGTGTAAAAGCGTGTGCGCTGTAAGTGATATCGTGCAAGTATACTTGTAGCAGCACCCGTTTAATAGCGACACGGATATTTACATGATTTGGTTCGCGCGTGTTGTGCATTAACCGCAGATGACACATTAGTGTGCACTTTATTTAATTACTCTTTCCATGCATATAGGTTTACGCATGCACACACACGCACACACTGTTACATTAACGAAATAGGACATTGCGTATGATATTGTTACATCTCAAGTCGAGCATATTTAATGCATAATAACCTACATTAATATGTGATGCATTCACGTGATTCGTAGTTGTTTTTAATCCTTGTTTAATCCTCACATTAATATATATTTAAGATCACTCTGCGTGTGGATTGGGTGTATTCTCCTGTCCGAGTGGAGTTTGCTCCTTGGCTGCTTGGCTCCCACAATGAAAATGCGTTTTCCAAAGCGGCTGGGCCAGACATCCCAAGTAGAACTGCAGAAACGAATATTCTCGAATATTTATGTTTAATTAGATTTCTACAATACAAAAGGTGATCTTAATGAGCATTACTACATAGTCGAGGAATGTTCTGTTAGTGTGCACCTATGAAGTTAATTTAATGTGGTCATGATCTGGTAGGGTTAGAATCATTATTCCTAGGAAATATTCTGGGTTACCCTTTATTAACAGACGCATGTAAAAACAAATGTACACACGCAACCTTCACGCCCCCTCCGCAAATGTTACCCATCCGTTCCTATCGTATCATAACCATCTCAAGGAACAACAAGCATGCATACATACAAGCAAATACGCATGCACGCACGTGCCAGTCCATTCCCGTACCGTACACTTTCAACAGGACACTCAAAACACACGGGCATACGCTTACGCGTGCAAAGTGTGCGATCCGTCGCGTACATTATAGGCAGCATTTTTTTGGGGATTGGATTGCAACCCCTAAATACTAACCCTCCGCTCTCCGCCAGCCCTCCCTCCCACGCCAACCCAGCGTACCCTATTTCCCAGCAGCAAGCTTAATCAAAATGCACATGCCCTGCAGCGGATGGGGATGTCTGTACTCGCACGGCTCCGTCTTTTATCATTCGGAAGCGTGTGTGTATTTTGTGTGCGTTTGTGTGTGTGTGAGCGTGTCTGTCTGCATGGGAGCTTACGTTCTACCCCTCCCCCCCGCCCCTCTCCGGCGTTACACAGTAATTAGAATTGTTAATGCGCTACTGCAATAGCGAAACATGCGGATTGAATATTATTGCGACGCACGGAGTCCTGCGATTTGTTCCGGAGAAGCCAAGGTGGCTTGGTCATGAGGAGCCTTGAATCAAGATCAATTGTGAGCGATTGGAATGACTTTTAACACGAGTTGTTAGGTAGGGGGTCGGAATAGAGAACTGATAGGGTTGGTGTTCAAGATCTTTACAAGTTTCCATTTTTTTTGTTGCTGCTGTTGTTGTAAACGCGACGCTTTAAGATGTCGTTTGCGCAATTCGGATATCAGTACACACCTGCAACACAGGTAAGGCTGAACGGGCGTGTGTCTGTGTGTGTGTGGTAGTGTAGCGGTTAACGCGCTGCGTTACAAACCTGGCGACCCGAGTTCGATTCCCGCTCGCGGCCAACACCACCAGTGACGATAATCCGACCCGGTCCTGGGCCTCCCCTAGGTCGACTCAGTCTCAAATGAGTACCTGGTGCGGTGTGTCGTAAACATCGCTCGCTGGGGGGAGACAAAGGCGGCCGGGCGTGGTGCTTGCCACTCACCCCCGTCGTGTGCCGTTTGCCAGCCTTCAGAGATGCTCGCTAACAGCACTTGCCCCCCAACAGTGTTACAGGCTATACGGGGGATCTTTGTCTGTGTGTGTGTGTGCGCGCGCGCGCGCGGGGGGAGCGGTGGCGCAGCGGTTGAGCGAGCGGGCGCGCAGTGGCGCTCGGAACGCGGGGGTCGAGCTTGTGCGGTGTTTAATGACAAGAACGGCCCGTTCTAGGGGTGGCAACACCACGTTCCTATGGCCGGCTTAAATAGGTGCCAACTGTCTGTTGAATGCTGCGTGGAAGATAGATAAATCGGTATCTTTGTGTATGTGCACGCGCGTCTGTGTGTGTGATCGCTCGCGAATTACACAACGGAGTAACACGCGCATTGCCCTGCTAACCCGGCAAGGCCTCTTTTGAACTGCTGACCGTGCACAACAACGGTGGCACGTGTGTATCTGACTGAACCTGACCTCCTCTAGGTTGACTTAGCCGTAAATTAGTAGTGGTGCGGAGTGTGGTTAGAGGTTAGGGCTCCACTTGATCGTAGTCTTTTGTGTTAAGCTATACTGTAACCTATTATGCGGATGATGACATGCACTTTCCCCGTGTATTTTAAAAGCAAACATTGGGTTTGTGCCTGCGACAAATGTTGTCCAAATTTTACAGACACTGGGAACACATTTGGGGTGCGTGTTGACTTTCAAGAGTAAAAACATGCTGAGAATATGACAATAAAATAACTCCTGTCTCTTTATTAATATTAACATCGTTATCAATATGTCATTAAACTCAACACGGCCATTGCATACAAACACGCAGAGGCCGATGCGTGTCGCGTGGTTTGAATGCAGACAATGGATGATGTGGGATCGAATCGGTATATGGGAGCGGTGGCACAGTGGTTAGCACACTGCGCTGTGAACCCGGCACACCGCAGGTTCGAGTGCCTTGGTCACGGCTAATATCAGTGGCGAGTGCGACCTGAACCGGTGTTGTCGCTCACATCGCCAACCTGCACAGCGCTGCGTTGTGAAAGTATGGTCGAAAAACCACCATGTCCGTTGCGGCCTTCATCCAGCGGTGGATTTACAAAGGGCTGTAAAGTAAGTATTATGGTCTATTAAGTATGTCTCCTTCTGCTGTAAAGAAGTGGACCTTGCTTGGAACGTCAAACTAGATATTTTTTTCATTTTGCTGGCATGTTTGATGGCAAATGTTCAGTTATTGTACTTACACTGCTTATCTATCATACTCTGTATATTTATATATTCACAGGCTACACAAATAATGTGTACACATGTGTACAAGATATTAATTAACAACCATACATTGTTCTAAAACTCTAACTCAACGCTGCATGTATGATTTACAATGCAAGAAATAATTGATGGTTATACCACTTGTCGGTTTGTCGTTGTTAAAGCTACTTTAAGACAATATCAGCGACCTAAGTTCAATCCCTAGCTGTGGTGTACAACAGGAGTTATTGTAATCTGGTCCCCACTAGGTTGACTCAAGCTAAAATTAAAGCAGTGGTGTGTACAATAAAGAATTAAAGCTTTCGTGACTGCATAAAATTACTAATTGTTTTTTCGGTAAAGTCACGGTGGGCCTGTATATGTATTTCTGCTGACTTTGTACCTCGTATTTGTTCACTCTGTCTATGCTGGTATGTGCAATCAAGAGGTTGAACACGAAATTTAACACTCATCTGAATTTCCTGGTCTGCCAGGAAGTGTCTAACTGTGTTGTTGGCCTGACTGGTTATGCTTCACATATTTTTTTCTTAGGTTTGATGAATTTTCGTCTCTCATCTTTTTGTTGTATTTACTTCCATGATTTGTTCTTGACACCTGATGAAGATTGCTTGTGTTGCGGTCGAAACATCGTGATTGATTTATTTTAATATAATTTTATTGTTTTTCTACATACGTGACTTTACCGAAAAAACCAATGAGTAGTGGTGTGTACACTTGCACGGTCTGACAAATAACTTTATTGGAGGTTTAAATTATAAACAAATGTCCACTCATTCTTTGGGTCTTTAGGTAAAGTCGTGTAGATAGTACTCTTTGGTTCTTTCGGTAAAGTCACGTAGAAAGAAAATAGATTAAATAATAGAATACGACGTTTCGATTGCAACACAAGCAATCGTCATCAGGTAAGAATGAATGAGAAAACAAACCTAGTGAATTTCGATTTGAAGCTTTCGTGACTGCAAGGATTCATCTTCTTTGGTTCTTTGGGTAAAGTCACGTAGAATGAGAATAAAATAATAAATTGATAAAATAAAATAACACAATAATATTCTCACGACGTTTCAGCGCTGTCCTACCAGACAGTCTCGTCCCTTCACCTGATGAAGGCCGCTTGTGTTGTGGCCGAAACGTCGTGAGAATTTTATCGTGTTATTTTATTATTTTATTCTCATTCCACGTGACTTTACCGAAAGAACCTAAGAAGATGAAACCTAGTGAACTTCGAAATATAATGCAATACAACACAGAGTGTCGGCTAACACAACAGTCAACACCCTACCTGGTTGATTACGTTCTTCCAAAGATTGCTAAATTTGAGAGAGGCAAAACACAGACACGGAGACACATAGACAGACACACAAGCAGAGAGTGAGACAACACTGAGACAACACAGAGAGAGACACACACATACACAAACAGAGAAACAACGCCTCTGTGTCGAGGCCTTACATAGAGAGAGGGGGGGGGGGGGCAGAGAGATAGGGGGTGGGGTAGAGAAATTAGCATGTCAATGAGAGAGTTGTGTGGAAATCCACCCCATAGCGGCCGGAGAGAAAGAGCAAATTAACCTATAGACAAACAAGCCCGGCAAATTTTCGAGCGAGAAATAGGAACTTTAACACGTAGGTTTTCGCGACCAATATTATTCATAATAAAGGTTTTTGGGTTAGATCATAACCATTGACTGATTACCAATCGATTATATAATTACAATACAACCCCCTCCGCCTCAAATCACTGCACCTGAATTAGTTAAATGATGACGTCACCCTGCCGCTCTATTTAAGACCGGGAGCAAGCGAGGGCTTTACCATTCTGGCGAATTGCCCGATGATGCTGGATGTAATTACCAGCGAAACGTCGTACTCAAACTGTAAATGTTGTGGATTCACTCGTCAACACACCGGTGGGCTAAAGTAGTGAACTATTTGTCTTTTGTCAAGTTGATACTTTTTTGGTGATTGGCCGTGTCGGGTGGTGGAGGGTTACGACACATTTATAAATAACGCGATTTAACCCAAAAACCTTTATTATGAAGAGAAATAGGAAGTTTGAGAAAACAAACTTAGTACAATTTGGAAATGTAATGCAATGCAACACAGAGAGTCGGTTAACACACAGTTAACGCATAGCCTGGTTGATAACGTTCTTCCAAATATTGCTAAATTATAGACAGACACACAAGCAGAGAGAGACAACACAGAGACACACAGACAGAGGGAAAACAAACTTAGTAAAACTTCTGGTTGTACTAAGTTTGAGACAACACTCAAGCGCTGTCTTCCGGACAGTTCTGTTTCTTCACCTGAGGAAGGCTACTTGTGTTGTGGCCGAAACGTCGTGATAATTTTATTCTGTTATTATTATTTTATTTCCATTCTACGTGACTTTACCGAAAGAACCCAGAAGATGAATCCCTGCAGTCACGAAAGCTTTAAATCGAAACTTAAACTTCGTACAAATTGGAAATGTAATGCAATGCAACAAAGAGAGTCGGTTAACACACAGTTAACGCATAGCCTGGTTGACTACGTTCGTCCAAAGATTGCTAAATTAGAAATTAAGTGTGAGTTGTGTGGAAATTCTCCCCGTAGAGGTGGTTCAAACTTGATTTGAAGCTTTCGTGACTGTAAGAATTACTCTTTGGTTCTTTCGGTATAGTTACGTAGAAATAAGAAAAAATAAAATTACATAACATACGACGTTTCGATTGCAACACAAGCAATCATCATCAGGTAGAGGAAACACATAACCGCAGATATATATACAGACCTTAAGTAGAAGGAATTAACACAGATATACCAGGGAATACAGAGGGTTAATCAATAGTTTCCAAATTTTGCTAAACCCTGTTTGATTCAGTGTGATGCTCCGTCTCTCTGTATCCCCTGGTATATCTGTGTTAATTCCTTCTACTTAAGGTCTGTATATATATCTGCGGTTATGTGTTTCCTCTAGCTGATGATGATTGCTTGTGTTGCAATCGAAACGTCGTATATTGTGCAATTTTATTTTTTCTTATTTCTACGTGACTTTACCGAAAAAAACAAAGATTAAAACCTAGTAAACTTAGAAATATAATTGCAATACAACACAGAGAGTCGGCCAACACAACAGTCAACACCCTACCTGGTTGATTACGTTCGAAACGTCGTATTCTATTATTTAATTTATTTTCTTTCTACGTTACTTTACCGAATGAACCAAAGAGTAATTCCTGCAGTCACGAAAGCTTCAAATCACGTAGATAGGCAAAAAATAAAATAACTAAAAAAACTACGATGTTTCGATAGCATCAGATGACGATCGCTTTGTGTTGCGATCGAAACGTCGTAGTTTTTTTGTTATTTTCTTTGAACCTATCTACGTGACTTTGCCGACAGTTGAAGTCAAGATTTAAATGTGCACACATTTAATGACGTTTTTACTTTGCAGAACGGGGCAATTTTTTTTACCATATCTGGGGAGGCCTTAATCCAGCGGTGGATTGGCCAGAGCTGAT